CCCCCCCCCTCTCCCTTTTTGGCATCTGTCAGGAGAGTTGCATTTCAGGATGGATTGGAGCGTCTGTGCCAGGCAAGGAAAGAGAGATTGGGAGATGGGGAGAGAGAGAGAGAGAGAAGGGTTTTCTGACACTGCTCAGCTGGAGTTTATTGGGTTTCATGCTCTTGGTGTTCGGAGAAACGTTTAGATTCTGAGTGTAAGACAAACAAATAAACACAAAAAGCAGTGGCTGCAATGTAGTTGTGCTCCAGACTTGCAGCGTCTCATTAGCACTGTGATCTTTAAGGCTGCAAAACGGAGTGGCCTGCTTGTCCATGCCAGGCTCACCCAGGCAGCCTTGTAATGGATGCGTGTGCAGGACAAAAAGAGGGGCAACACTTGGAGTGGAAAGAGCAGCTCTGCACCTTTCTTCAGTGGTGGTGGACCGAACAAACTTGGTAGCCAAGCTCACTTAAAAGGGTGGACAAAGCAAAAGAGGTGATTATGTAGAGAAGAGGAGGCTGAGCTGCTCTGTGCAAAGAAACGTTATTTTGGTTTGGTTCAAATTGCTGATTTTCCAGCTTAAGGTCTTTTTTTAACTTGAGAAATCTGTTTTCAAACTAGCCCTGCATTTTGCATTTGAAGGAAATGTGAAAGGCGAGAGCATGTGAAAAACTCGCTTGTAGCAGTTTTGCAGAAGGCGGCAAAGCAAGAACATTTCTGTAGAGCAGCAGCAAAGATTGGGAGGGAAAGGCACAGTAAAATCATACAATTCCAGGTAGAGAACCAGGTTTCCCAAGGAGGCTCTCAGTACCTGGTCAACAGGTTCCCTAGGAAGAGTAATAATTTCCTTTATTGCTTTGTATTTGCTCGTAGTTATTAAAAACGATAATAAAAAAACCTACAAATTTTTGCATGTCAAAGTTTTGCAAATTGTTTCAAGAAGCTTCTCTTAAAACACATTTAGGTTTAGTGCAATTAATGCACTTTTCCTACAGAAACCTCCCCATGCCAGTGTATTAATCAACTAATATGAAAAGGATATAAACTGTGACTGAAGAATTAAAGAGGAAATTATTGTTAGTTTAGAGATGGCTGACTTTTTCGTAAGACCCACATAGTTGTGCACAGAAAAGCTTAACGTGCTTTTAAAAGACATTACATGAGTTGGCTTTAAATAGGACAGGAAAAAAAAAACCAAAAAAAACACCCGAGGTTGTATGCCGTTGACTTCCAGGTTGCCTTTCATTTGAATATATTTGTACTGGATTTACAAGCTAAAAAAAACCCCAACCAAACAAACCCAACAAAGAAAACCCTAGCACATTTTCATAGTTTCTGGTCTTCTGAAATATTTTTTAAAAAACGGTGCAGAGTAAGTAGATTGTGGATCTAGGTTGTTCCGTCCTTGTTGGTTGATGTGCTCAGTGGCTTAAATAGATCTACAGCGGGTGAGAATTCATTTTGCATTTTTTTGCTGGTCGGCAGATGCAGCGCATATTTTGTCAGGCTTATCTAAATATTGAGAAATAAAAGTCTTAAGGATTTTACAACCTGGCTGCTTTTTTAATAGGAATGGTTGGAGCCCTTGTCTTGTGCAAAATGTATGTTTCTCTGCAGAACAAAGGGTTGTCTTGTGGCATATTTGACAATAATTATGACTTAGAGGAGTGCGTGCTCGTAGAAGTAGTACAAATTATTGATATCAGTTACTGACTTCAGATGACACCTCTTCAGCAGCTCTTCCCAGGGCTGAGCTTGCTCCTCGCAAAACCCTTCGCTTCAAAAATGCCTCGCACAAGGTGTTCGCTTCTCTTCCATATTTCCTACCAGGATTGCTTTGCGCTCCGTGTTATTGATGGAAAATACTTTCCAAAATAAAGTTTACTGGCTTTTTCAGTTGCCTCGCAAGCCTCGCCCCCGGCTGGAAGTGGCGGGTGTTGACGACTAGGGGGAGCTCATAGCCTGTATCATGGCCGGGCTGGCTGCGGCCCCGCCGGCGCTGCTGCGCGGGATGCGCTACCCCAGGAAACAGCAGCCGCAGCTCAGACAGTTCACGTTGCTGCAAAGTGTTTTCACTGTAAAGTTGTAGTATTGATTTTCATGCGAAGATCTATAGAGCGCTAGCTGAGAGGGGCTGCGAGCGAGACAAATCTATTTTTAGCTAAATCATGGCTGATTAATTGACTCTGGCGGACAGGAGTTTTTAATTAAAATTAGTTTTTAACGGTGCCTTTTATTGTCAACATACAGTGTTTAAATTCTCAATTTGTTGTTGTAAGATAGCGATCGGGGTAATGATACCTGTACATGAGAGAGTCTCTGTGCGTGTGTGTGGGGAAACCCACGGAGATCCGTTTGTTTGTTCCAGTGGACGTAAAAACACATAGCGAGGAAGCTGGAGTTCTAGGTGAAGGTGTGTACAGCAATAAAGCAGACATACACGTACATAATGTGGCGTTGATTACATGTCAGAAAGCCACATGTACACCCCCCCCCAAGAGGATTTGTTTGATATTAGATAGTTTACTGTACTTTGATCCTCAGGTCCTTGTAGCAAAAAATCTGAGAGTTCCTGCAAATGAAAATAAGCATTTTTTTCCTCGAGAAATAAACTCAAAATCACATGTAGAAGTTGCTGCTGAGCAGCTCAGAGACTGCTCCGCTGGGCTTGTGCTGTTCTCTGCTGCAGCCGGCTTGCCTGTCGTGGATGGACTTTAGCAGGACGCTTTCTTGCCCAGACATAATTTCATGGTGTACACACGGGCAGCTTTGATCAGCGAATGTTTATTTCACTCAATCTGAGAAATTAATCAAGTTATGGTATTGTTAACATAGCACAAGCATCTTTTTATTTCCAGGGTGCAATATGTGGATGGAGGTTATCCTGCGACAGGAAAGCACGCTTTATCCTAACCTGAAAGATAAGTAAATTAGGTCAGACAAAAGATCAGGGCTGTCATCAGCTGTACAAAAACCCTTCACTCTTGGGTAGAGGGGGCCAGCAATTTATCTGATGATTTCTCTACTTCATTTAATGTTTGAATTGAGCTAGTTGGAAGCATATAGACAGCAGCCAGCTCATTTGACAGACCGGTAAGCTGAAGAGCAGAGTACCCCAGGCTGCTGCTGATGTTGGTGTTCCCCAGCCATGGGGAAAACCTTCCTTTCTCCCCTCCTGAAACCTGAGACTTTACCAACTGTTACTTTCCTTCCATTCCAGAACTGTTCACTTTTACCAAGAGAAACAACGACCACCCTCTTCTCGTCCCTCTCACCTCTGCACACCCAGTGCACACACACACACTCGTGCCCCTTCCTCCCGCTCCCTCCTCTGCCTCCCACCTGTCCCGCTCCCCAGGTTGAAGCTTGCCGGAGAAGTCTCCCTGTGGAGACCTGCTACCCCAAAATGTCTCTCTGCCTCCTTGCTGGAGCGCTTCCTTCTCTTTGGTCGCAGTTTGGTTTCTTCAGGACAGTGTTGCAGTTGTCGGTTGAATTTGGTGTCCCCTCGGTAGCCTCCAGGGAAGGCACGCAGAAAAATAAATGGGCGCTGGGGGTTACCGCCTGCTTTAAAGTTAGTGATGCCATAAAAGCAGTTGGTGAAGCATCAGCATTGGCTGTAGACGGATTTATATATATGTATCTTTTTAATGAGAGAGGGAAAAGACATCAATAACTGCGTGCATTGATAAATGCATGATTCATTCAGCCACTCTTACTACAGCACCTTCCTCTTTCATGTTTATTTACTTTCTTAAAATGTATCTGGGCAGGCTGCACACCATTCCTCGGCACCCACGGTTACAGGCTCAGAAGCAGTTGTGTGTTCAGCTCCTGAACATCAGTTAAATTTGCTCGCTGTCTGCCCTCCCTCCTGAAAAGCTGTTGCTTGCTTGGTACTGTAGACCCTTGCTGGAGCTTTAAGTACCAGCTGCTTTTTTTTTTTTTTTTTTTT